GGAGAGCTTGTACCGACTGAAGTGGGGCATTGTGGGGCACTGACAGCTGTGCGGGGCTGACAGCCGGAGCCCCCCCCCATCCCAGGGCTGACAGCTGGAGCTGTCAACTGGAGCTCCCCCCCCCCCCCCACTCTGCCACTCCAGGCTGATAGCCGGAGGAGCCGGAGATGAAATGTGAAATCATAGCAGCTGTGAAACTGATAAGAGTGTCAATTTCACTGCTGGTAGGTTTCCTGCTGTGAAATTGAGCCCTGGGCAGGACTCACAGTTTGGGCTGCCAGCCCTGGGGTGGGGTGGAGGCTCCAGCTGTGAGCTCCATGCAGGACTGAACAGCCAACAGGAGATGTAAGTAACACAACAGACCAGGCCTTAATTAGTTTTTATTGCTTTAGGATTAGTTTGATAGCTGTGAGAGATTCAGCTTTTCCTCTCCCTGTTTTTCCTGCGTAATTTCTCTGGCCTGGCTGGGCAAGCCTGGCTTGGCAGGTTTCAAATGCTGCCATCCTTGTCAGGAGCTAGCCTGATCAGCAATGGCACTCTAAGTGGACCTGTTGCTTGGGAGAGTCTCTTATCTCCCAAAAGTGTAATTTTTTTTTGGCTCTCAAATCTAGAGCACAGAAGAATCGAGAGACTAAACTGAAGCTGATGCTGATTGAGCACTCCCTTCGACCACCTCTGAGTCAGGTCAGGAGATACCCCAGCCCATACATCTGTCTCTAGGCAGATCTAGTGCTCCCTCAGTCTTGGCAAAGGTATCTCCTAGGAAGGGGAAGACCTCAGAGGACTCAGGAAAGGCTCCAAGAAGAGGAGCTCAGTCTGCCACCTCAAGCCCCCAAGAAGTTCTGAGCTCCCACTAGGTCTACAGGGTCAGTGGCCTTGACTTCTTGACTCAGAACTGTGGAGGCAAAAGACCCTTCCTCTAGTACTGGCAGAGCTGAGAGATCCTGGAGCACTTCAGAGAAACACAGCTCCAGCAGGGCCCCAGTACCATCTGTGAAGGACGGGGAGGTACTGGACATACAGTGCTCCAGAACAGCACCATCTACATCATACTTACCAGCGGTAACTTCCCACTTGGCTCTGTTGGTACTGACAAAAATCAAAGTCTTCAGCACCGGTGCCTACGCGCTCCAAACCAACAGTACTGTCCACGTCAAGTGCTGCATCAGTACTGACCCACTCAGTACTGAGGAATTCCACTACTCCAGGGACTTGTCAGTGTTAGACAAGCCAGAGTCCCCACTGCTTATGGGTGCTGAATGACTCTCAGTACAGAAACCCCAGTCTCCGGCTTACCATCACTTCCCAGTACCACAGGATTCTCCACCCTTTTCTATTGGAGACAAACCCACCCCCCATTGCAGGACACTGAGGAGGATGAAAGAGACATTCAATCGGTCTCATCCTTATCAGTGCGAAGTTCCTTTCCAAATCATTACAGAAACCCATACTTTGATAAGATTCCTTGTCCATGTCAGGGATGATGGGTATTACCCCTCTCACATATGGTCCTACCCACTGGGCATACTGGGATCCTTGGGAGACATATTGGCAGCAATTTGCCAGACCTCCAGCTCTATTCCACTGGGAGATTAGGGTTACACAGTCCCCTACACCAAACCCCCAACATGAAGAGACCTTCGAGAAACAGGAGGATGGGGGAGAAGGAGGATACTCTTCAACCCTATTTTGTCTTTGTCTCCAGATGAGACAGTCATGCTCTCAACACCATTGATAGCTGATGATTTTTGTCAATTCCAGGTCCTTGTGAAGAAGGTGGCTAACCTCAGGGGGTATCTGGAGGATGAGGTTAAAGACTCTCAGTGCAAGCTCCTGGATATTCTGCAGTCAGGAACACCCACCCAGGTTGCACTATCCATTAATGAAGCATTCCTGGATCCAGCAAAGACTGTGTGTCAAACTTCTGCCACCATCCTGCCAACGTGTAAACAGGCAGATGAGAAATATGTTTATCCCAGGGACTCAGAATGTTTGTTTTCCTACTGCCCCCCACCCCAATTCCCTTGTGATGGATGCCATAAAAGAGAGGGGTAAACAGCATTACTCCAGGTCTCCTCCTTATGATAAGAACCAGGAAAGGTTAGTCCCTTTTGGACGAAAGGCATACTCATCTGCAACCTTCCAATTTTGGACTGCAAACTATCAGGCAATTGTGGCCGAATATGATTACACAAATTACAACATGTTTGCATTCTTTATTGAACATCTTCCACAGAAGCACAATGAACACTTCCAGGCCATCATTAAATAGGGTCAGTTATTAGCCAGAACCTCTCTTCAAGTGTCTTTAGATATTGTTGGATGTTGCTGCTAGATTAATTTGCAGTGTGTTTGTCATGTACAGGGTGTCATGACTCCAGTCGTCGGGGTTTCTGAGAGAGGTTCAGAATATGTTGAGGACCTCCCCTCTGACAGTCAAAGGACTCCAGGGCCATGTCTCTGGGTATATATACCCCTACAAACAAGATTTAGCAGGTCTCAAGCTGCCCAGAGATCACACCCAGCTCGGTTCTCTAGTTTTCACAGAACCACCAAACCTACTAGAAAAAAAACAAGGAAACGAGCTTCTCATCCTCCTTTAGTGACACTTGCTGGAGGATTCTCTGCACCTTGAGGTCTTTAAACCACGATTTGAGGATTTCAATAACTCAGACATAGGTTAGGGGTTTGTTACAGGAGTGGGTGGGTGAGATTCTGTGGCCTGCGTTGTGCAGGAGGTCAGACTAGATGATCATAATGGTCCCTTCTGACCTTAAAGTCTATGAGTGCCCAGTCATCATTAAAACAGCAATTTTGACAGGCTTGACCTCCTCCCTCAGCTCCAGTTTGCAAGCTAGCAACCTTTTACCCACCTCTCCTCTTTTGGAGCCCACCTTCCCATTTCAAACAGGCCTGGTGATGTACTGCAACAAACAGGTGGGTCAGCACCATCCACTTCACATCCTCCCATCCTGTCCATCTTCAAGGACCCCTCTCACAAAACTATACTGAGCCAAGAGGCACACTGAGCAATAGAACACATCCCATCCCCTCACACAGGAAAAGGGTTTACTCCAAGTATTATCTTGTGCCAAAGAAGGATGGAAGGTGGGGTCTGACCTCAGATCTAAAACAACCGAACAAATTTGTAAAGCCTCAGAAGTTCAGGACGGTGACTCTGGCAGCTATAATTCCCTCTCTAGAGCCAGGAGATTGGTTTTCAACCCTCGACTACAGGGACGCCTATTTCCATTTAGCGATACATCCTGCACACAAGAGATACCTGTGTTTTCACCATGGGACAGGTGTATTTCCCTTTGGCTTGTCTTTGGCCTCAAGGGTGTTCTCAAAAGTTCTAGCAGTAGTGGCTGTTTACTTTCGACAAGAAGCAATTTTAGTCTTCCTGTATCTCAACAACTGGCTCCTCAAGGGCCAATCTTACAAAGCAGTACTAACTTCCACCCAGACAGCTCTCTCTCCTTTCCAGGAGTTGGGTCTCCAGCTAAACGTGAAGCAGTCCAAGATTCCCCTGTACAGAGAATACAATTCATAGGGGCATATTTACATTCGTTGGCAGTCTTTCTTCCCAAGGACAGATTCATAATTCTGTTGAATCTGTTCAGTATGATTCAAGGAAGCCCCTGTACTAAAGTAAGGAACTGTTTGCAGCTCCTGGGTTGTATGGCAGCTTGCATCTTTGTGACTGAGTACACAAGATTATGCCCCCTGCTGCTTTCAAGACCAGTTCAGGAGGAACTATACCTCAACCAAGACAGCTTGGACAGACAGGTCCTGTCCAGGTAAATAACTCCCTGGACTGGTGGAAGAATCAACTCATTGTCCCTTTCATCCACACAGCTGACAATAACTGTGACAATGGATACATCACTGTTAGGGTGGGGAGCATATCTCAATACCCTCACAACTCGGAGCAGATGGTCATCTCAGGAAACCAGTCTCCTGTTGGAACTCAGCGCAGTCAGGAATGCCTGCCTTCCATTCATATCTCTCATCAGGGGCAAATCCATCAGGATCATGATGGATAATGGCAAGATCCCCTCCCTGTGCGCCAAAGTTATAAAATTGTGGAACTGGTGTATAGCCCATCAGATTCAGATCTCTGTCCTCTCCCTTCCTGGAGCCCAGAATGTCACCACTGATATGCTCAGCGGGTGCTTCTCCAAGGGCTACAAGTGGGAGTTGGACTCAACTTCTTCACAGGATACTCCAGAGGTGGGGACTTCCCAAGGTGGACCTATTTGCCACATTCAGCAACAAGAAGTGCTCCCTTTTCTGCTCAAGAGGAGGCTTAGCTTTTCTCTTTCCCTGGTTGAAGGGCCTGTTTTACGCATTCCTCCGACACCACTAATTCTAATTCTGGCAGATGAATAAAATCAGACCGGACAAGGCCAGGGATAGCCTCATAGTACCAGCTTGGCCAAGGCAAGCTTGGTATCCATATCTGCTTCACCTGTGTGTGCAGCCGGCATTCAGTCTTACTGCTGTCCCCTCATCTCCTCTCCCAGGATGCAAGTTGGGTGCTTCACCCCAACCTGGGGGCCCTCTGTCTCCAAGCATGGCTCCTAGATGGTTCACGGGATTAGAATCCATCTGCTCAACAGGAGTACACCCAGTATTACTAAAATAGTAGAAGGGAGTCACTCAATTACATCTCTTCAGAAATGGAAAAAGTTCAGCCACCAATGTCAACATCACCTCCTTGTGCCTGAATCTTGGCTGCTCTTGGTCATCTTGGGTTATCTGCTGGATTTAAAAATATTGGGTTTATCAATGAGTTATATTAAGATTCATCAGGCTGCTAAATCAGCATTTCATTCCCAGTAGAGGGGTTTTCTGTGTCTGTGACCTCTAGATTTATTAAGGATTTTGGGAAACTTTACCCCCAGGTTAAGGATCTTTCTCCAACTTGGGACCTCAACCTGGTACTTAGGGCTTGTCTATACTTACGCGCTGGTTCGGCAGCAGGCAGTCGAACTTCTGGGTTCGATTTATCGCGATAAATCGAACCCAGAAGTGCTCCCCGTCGACTCCGGTAATCCTGCTCGCTGCAAGGAGTACGCGGAGTCGACGGGGGAGCCTGCCTGCCGCGTCTGGACCGCGGTAAGTTCGAACTAAGGTACGTCGACTTCAGCTATGTTATTCACGTAGCTGAAGTTGTGTACCTTAGTTCGACTTGGGGGGTTAGTGTAGACCAGGCCTCAGATACTTTATGGGACCTCCATTTGAGCCTATGGAACCTTGGTTCATTTATCTATTACTCCTGGGGGGATTCTGCGCAAAAAAATTAAAAATTATGCAAAATTCTGCAAATGTTATTTGTCAAAATAATGCAATGTAATCACACCCGTTTCAATTGTTTTGGTAAGTTATTTAAACTACAATACAGAAAAAAGTCACAATAACTATTAAGTATTTCCTAAACACATGAAAGTTAAGTTACAAATACTTGGTAACTAATACCCCGCATTCCAGTTATAATCCTGGATTTTCATGTAAATTATGTTACAGAACACCAAACAGGGGAAAAAAAAAAGTAAAATGTCATTTTAAATTGCTCAGACTTTCACACATGAAAGTCGTAGAGTTTTGCTAATCATTGTCCTGGACCTAGCTGGGTACTTTGGGAAGTGCTTGGTTCTGATTGTCCTGACATTTTATTGACTGCTTGGCAAATGTTTTATTTGCCCTCACAAGTCGTTTTTTTTTTTTTAAATGGGTACGTAAAAACGTAAGCCCATTGTGCCACTTTGGCACAGGAAAAAAGTGAGAACGCGCATAGATCTTCCTAGCTGATTCCCTTACTGTCATTTATAAGGCTTTACATCACTCTGGCGATGGAGGGGCTTTAAAACTTTTACAGGATTTTTTGCTCCTGGGGGACTTGACTGAGAATGGGAGTTAAGAATAGAATAATTAACAATGTTACATTTCTGCCTCACAGAATGAGATCAATTAACCATCAACAGAAACATTAACAAAAGGTGGTGTTGTTTTTTACAAAAGCTATTTTCTTTTATTTTAAAACAAACAATTTTCAGTAACATGATAGTAATATTTAAGTGTTTTTTCAGTTCTCAAGAAGTTCCATTTCACTAGGCAGGCAGGCTGCTATGCTTCTGCCTTGGGGGCAAAGCCTTCCTCCTGCATAACAAAAAGACCTGCCCTCCTCCGCGCCCCTTGAGCCGCGGTATGGAGAGAGGGACTGAGTCTCTTTGCTTGTTGGCCAGCCCCGCCCCCTGATGGTGATCCATGGCTCCCCGCAGTGATTTGCGTCCTGCAGCTGCTCCAGGCAGGCAGAACAGCCACACTGCCTGGGCTGCTGGAGTAGAGACGCGTGTCCTCCCCCTCCCCGCGCTAGCCGGGGCACATCTGCAGGGCAGGGAGTCCCCCTGCACCCTGGCTCCGGCCGCGCCGTAGGTTTTTTTTGTTTTGTTTTTGTTTTTTGCTTGGGGCGGCCAGAAAGCCAGAGCCAGCCCTGCCTCCCAGAGATTTCTTTTGCATTTTTCTGCGTGGGGGGCACAGAAATATGCGGGGCATATGAATTCTGTGCCCCCACATGGGCGCAGAATTCTGTCAGGAGTAATCTAGGAAGATGGCCTTTCTAATACCTACCATGTCAGCCTGCAGGGTGGAAGAGATTGGAGCCTTAATGGTATGTTTCAGGGACAAGATCTCCTTACGGTCACATCCAAAGTTCTCACCTAAGTGCTGTCAGCTTTCCATCTTAAACAAGTATATTCATATACCAATATTTTTTTCCTAAACCCCAGAGATCACAAGACCTCCTTTCATACGTTAGATGTATGATGGGCATTTGCCTTTTACCTGGATAGGACCAAGCAATTTCGGAAATCACCTAGAATGTTTGTCTCCATCACAGAAAGATCTAGAGGGTCCATGATTTCTTCACAGAGACTGTCGAGAGGGATCTTTGGGAATATTGTTGCTTGCCATGATCCAGCTGGTGCTTTGACTCCCCAGAAGACAATAGCACACTCTACCAGATGACAGGCAACTTCCAGAGTGTTACTCAAAAACATGCCAACATCCAAGAGATGCAGAGCTGTTACATGAACATCAGTTCATGCCTTTACTGAACACTACCCCTTGGTCTATACCACTAGATCAGATGTGGCACTTGGTTCTGCTGTACTGTCTTCAGTCTTGGACTTGATTCCAAAGCTCCCTGTTCCCTATGAGGATATTGCTTGGAAGTTACCTGAAGTGGAACACCTATAGGGACATTACCTGCAATAACTGTGGTTCTTTGAGATGTGTCCCCCTATGGGTGCTCCACTACCTGTCCTCTGTCCCCTCTGCTTTGGACTGTTCTTTGTTGGATGGTGGGATAGAGAAGGAACCAAGGATGGTTTTCCCGCACAACCCTCATAGTGTGCCACAAGGTTGTATAGAGCACATGCGTGGGCTGAACAAACAGTGCTAATGGAAACTCTCTAATCAAGGGCTCAAGTGGCTCATGCACCTCTGAAATGGAGCATCTGTAGGTTCACCCATCTTGAAGAACCACAGTTACTGCGCAAGGTGAGTAACCTTTTCTTCATATGCTACAAACTGCTTTATACTTGGCTTTCCTCGTCTGTGTCTCCACACTGTGGTGTAAAAGAAATACTAGTTATGCTGGTGGTTGTTTTGTATGGAGTGCTGTCTGTAGAACACACCTCCCCGCATGGTTCAGCATCATCTTCATTGCAGAGGTGGCTGTGAGGTAGCACCTCACCATTTCCAAAGGTTAGGTAAATTAGAGTTGGGCAGATTTTTTTTAACCAGAAATGTGATACTTTGTGCAGTTTATCATCTACACCTGAAAGCTCTGAAAATGAATATTTCAATAACCAATTTTCATGGAAACTTCCAGACATAATTGGTGTGATAAATCATCATTTTCCAACCAGCTCTGATAAAAGCCAGACACATCAGAGACAACCTTATTGATAAATACAGTATCATGCCTTTTCATGTCAGCACAAGGTGTATTTTCTTTATTTTTAATTTTGTTTTTCATTCAGAATAAATTATTTAAATTATTTGTCAGTGAAAATAACAGGAAAATCATCTTTACACGGCATTTTTGAGTCTTCTTACTGATTGTGCTTTTGTTTATGTATATGACCAGATAGCCTCGAAATTGATCAGGAATCACGGTTTTTAACCAATTATCAATAGACTTGTTGATCTCAGTGTTTACTTGAAAAGATAATATTTGTGTTTATTGTTTACTATCAACCTTTCAGAGAACAAAAAATATCTAATCAGCACTTGAATATGATCTTTTAAATAATACCTCTGTGTCAATGTAGACATTGAAATTAAATTCATTCTGGAGCTGAAATGTAGTCATAAATCTTTCACAGAATGAAATGTAATGGCAGACTTTGGTTTATGCTTTATTAACCTGTGCCTAAATATGTGTGAATGACGATTTGACATTGTTTCTTAAATTCCTTGTATCTTTGTAAAAAATAGAAAAAAGGGAAAAACACGAAAGGAAAATGGAATTGTGCAATCTGTAAAGCAAATATAACTAAAGAATGAATAGCTGGCTAGAATTTTACTTTTTAATATATTAAGGGTTTGTATTGCTAATGGTTAATTTACTTAAAGAAAAATTCAACACCAAGGACTACCTGCGCAGGCTCGGCAGTGTGTGTCTCCGATTGTTCCCTTTGCTCATGTGGCTGGGGGGCCGTATGTTACTTGGCAGGAACAGTACGTTATTGTAAACCCATGTATAGTATGTCTTCCTTTGAACCTTCCCACCTGGGCACCAAGTAGGGTACTCATCTCAGTGCCCTTTAGATTATATTGCTGTGTATAGCCAATTTCTAATAAAACTGATATTTAAACATTGAAATCTCTCTCTCGCTGCTAGGTATTTCCTGCTTTTCAACCATTACACTGTTCTGGGTACTGAAATGTTTGTGCTGGACCCTAGACTTGAAGGAACCATAGCTAGGAGCTCAAGCTTTGAATACCTCAGCAAAGGGGTTTGCATTTCACAAAAGGCAACCATTGTGAGACATTCCCCCTGTCTGAACTCGAGAGTGGGTAGAGAGGAATTGCCAGCAAAAGAAAACTCTGGTCCTCCCCCACAAAGTAAGTGTGCATGTGTCTACTTCCTAGAGACACATCCTGTTGTGCCAGGCTGCAGCTGAAGGAGAAATGGCGACTCCCTGCCTTCGCAGTCACAGTGTAACCCAAGGCTCTGTACAGCACTTTGGGGTACAGCACTGTAATGGGCCAGATGGAACCAAAGTTAGAGCCAGATCTTCAGCAAATGGAAATCAGTGTTGCTCTTCATGTGTTAGGGTTGCATTTCGGGTTTCGAGTTAGGGGCGAGGTTGGGGTTAAAGGTAGGGTTAGGGTTTAGGGTTCGGGGGTAGGGTTTAGGGGATAGGGATTGGGGTTAGATTTAGGGTTAGGATTAGGGTTTAGTGTTTGGGTTAGGGTTCAGGGTTAGGGAAGGGTTAGGATTTGGGGTTTAGGGTTGGGTTACGGTTTAGGGTTAGGGTTGGGTTAAAGTTTAGGGATTAGGGGTAGGGTTGGGGGTTTGAGTTTAGGTTAGGGTTAGAGGGTTAAAGTTGGGGTTAGGGGTTTGGGGTGAAGGTTTAGGGTTAGAGGTTTAGGGTAAGGATTAGGATTGGGTTGGGGTTTGGGTTAGTGAGTTAGGCTTAGGCTTAGGGGTTACGGTTAGTATTAGAGTTAGGTTAGGGTTAGGGCTCAGG